CATACAGGATCTCTCTTACTTGGCATCTTGGAGAGGACTCTACTAAGAACAAGGAATTCTTTGAGGTAGGATCTGGGAATTTTGCTAATTTTTTACATAACTGTGCTGTACCCAGGTTAGAATCTTATTCTATCTATAATCTCTATGTCAGAGTGGAAATTGTTAACATTTCCCTTAACTGCTTCTTTGTGAGGCCACGTAATAAATCGTTACCTTCCCCTCCACCTTTCAAATATTTTGCCCTCATAAACAATATAAAATTAACCTTTGGAAATCACAAAACTAACGTAATATAAAAAAAAAAAAACACTCCCCCCAAAATAGGGAAAAATGAAATTTAATAGTTTTTCTATAGCCTAAACTAAAATAATATCCTATATTATTTTAGTAGATATAGTAGTAGACAGGGTCCTCATTTAGGAGCCAAAGGGGAGAAGATAAAAACAAACCCCCAAAACTACTCTGGTTTCCAAACCCTGCTATTTCTGAGTTTCCACTTCCTCATTTGCCAGATCATAAAGACAAAATCTGCCTATGCACTAGGCCAGGGTAACAACCGAATGCAATGATGCATTATACTTAAAGCTGAGGACACAGAACTGTTTTTCAGCAGGTTAAAGTAGTTGACTTTCAACAATGTATCCCAATGCATACATGGAAAATTAGAAATAAAATCAAATAAATAACTGAGAAATATTATAATAGAGGCAAAAATTTGAAAGATGAGAACTTGGTAAACACTCTGCTTTATCTAATTCTACCAAACCAAGTGATTTTTTGTTTAATTGATGTCTTTGTTATTAGAAACAATGGACGTGATGCAGGATTTGGTGTTCTGACAACTAACTTTGAACCTTCGATCTGTAAGAATGGACTATGTGACATATGAACTAGTCAGCTATGTCCAAAAAGCATGTTTATCAAAAAGCTGTGTGTAAAGGAAATATGTATTTTCCCTTGGTCTAGAAGTGGAACAGGCAGGGTTCTGCAGTCAGGGGTGGGGGAAGGTGTTTAACAGGTGGAGGAGACTTTTGAATGTGGAGCAGTGGTTACCAGCCACGCTAGAAAGTGGCCTCAGCGAGGAAGCAGTACCTTGCCTCCCAGCGCGTGAGAAGGAGAAAGAACAGAAAACGGAGGGTTTGCAGATACTTCAAGTATAAGGAAGCAATACAGGCACAGGGGCAGTATGGGTAAACATGTGTGTTTACCCAGACTGTGTAGGTTTTGTCCTTTGTGTGCAACTTCTAAGCACGATGAGCATGGAAAAAAATTCATCTTTTTTATTTTTGTGACTCAGTTTCCCCACTTATAAAATGACAATGATAATAGCTCCAATTGCTTTGGGCTTTTTTAAGAATCAAATGGGGAAACAAATGTGTGTTAACATTGTTATTTTATTTATATGAAAGTTAATCAATTTATACATTTTAATGTTCAAAGTAAATATTTTGAAAGTATTGGCAGTCCCTTTCTTAGGGGAGGTAAGACATCTCAGCTCCACTGACCTCAATGTTTGCCATGCAACCCTTGAGGCCATCTGCTACGTGAAGACTATACTTTCTTGACCTCTTAACTCAGGAGGAACTGTGTGAATTGCTTTGGCCAATGGGGATAATAAATATGGTAGTTATCATGTGCAGCACGTGTAGGTAACAACAAAGAACTGGGTTTTATTTTGTTGTTGTTTCCCCAGCAAACACTGACCTCAAGAGATCTATTGTTCTAGACAGAGGCCACTTCATCAGCTGGGTTGTGGAGCAAAGACTGAATACAGCACAGTCTATGTCAACTTCATATGGCACTGAACATGAAGGCTGGCAACAGAATCCTAGTTATCCTAACTGATCCCAGCCTGATACTTACAAGTGGAGTGTGCACCCAGAAAACAGATAGCATGGCTCCAAGAGATGGGAAGCTGGTGAGAAAACTGTTACTGGGGGCTATCAGGATGGGAAACCATGGTCGGCAGAGATAACGCATTTAGCAAAATGGTTGCCTGCGACAACCTGGAAGGCAAGTGATGAACCAGACCTCATAGCTCTCAACACCAGAGTAGCCAGGTGGTTCGCTCATGCCTCCCATTGGGGGATGATGCATCCCTGGGGTGAGGGGCCCAGGAGTAGCCTGTGCCTGAGTGTGATGGATGAGCCGCAGGCTGAAGGGTCAGGCGTCACTGCTGGGAGAAGCATTAGGATCCAAATTGTGGTTTATTGTGTCTGTCTTTTCACTCTGTCAGAAGAATACCACTGCCCTAGATAGAGGCAGCCCCTTCATTGCAAAGTGGGGAGAAAATGGTGGAGAATGGAGCAGGAATGGACCCGTGGTGGATGCACAGTGGGAGTGAGAAATAACCCTTCTTAGTAGCAAATTGTTGAAATTTTGAGTCTGAGAGTGTGTGGAATATAACCTAGCTATCCGTGAAGACCGGTAAGTGAAGAACTTCAGTCATACCTCATTAAGTGCCGCATACGTGTTACCTATGAGTATTGTTATATGAGCATAAGGGTGATGGTGATGGTGTGAGCGGATGTCAACATCTCAGAGGGACAAAGATGCAGAAGGCTGACGAAGTTACTTCATCCTGATTTAAGCTCCTCATCCAGTGGTGTGCTGGGAAGGATTAACAACCAGCCGTGGATGCAGTGAGAGGTACTGATTTGCGGCACCCGTAATTTCTGTGGCATAAATGCACCCACCATGGCTGATTTCAGGCTAGTGACGGACGTGACAGAACAGAGTGGGGACAACTGTGCACGGGGGGCTCCCATGGTCCCATGATCCCAGTGCACAATCTAGGAATTCCAACAGGATTCACTGGCAAGTCAGGGCGATGTACAATCATGCTTTGGTGAAAGATCTGACCAACTCTGGGAGAAAAAAAATGCCAGCTAACGCTGACCATCCTCGGCATAGGAATTTGGGAAAGCAGAGTTCTGGGTCGCTCTCTCCACTGAACACCCTCGATGCGGCAACCAGTCAGGACAGCCTTCATAACCCAAGGAAAATCACAGCCTCCCCAGCAGCTTTTAGACAGATAAAAGGAAAATACTTAAAAGGGGAAGGGGAAGGGGAGAAACAAGGATTGTTTCCTCAGAAGAAACCACTTTGATCTCAGCCAGAACAGATTATTCAGAAGCCAGGCTGCTGTTACCTTCAAAAATATATTTCTCCACAAATCTGTCTTTCTAAATTGAGCAGTGAGTCAGCGGCAGTGGGCAGTGCCACGTGGGAAAAAGATGGGGACGGAGCCGGAGGTACCTCTGGTGCGTTGTTATTAGAAGTCTCTGGAAGAGTAATTTGGCGGAAGCTTTTCAGCTTTTATGTCCCCAGTTTAAATTCAATCTCAGTTGATCATGAGCGAAAGTGAATGGCTGGTGGCTTATGAAAAATGCCATGATGAGGACACCCGCGTTCCTTCCCCCAGCGACAGCCACTGCAATTGGCACCCTTTTTTTTTTTGCTCCTACCAGAAGCAGAAAGGGTGAATAGAAATGTCATTTCAAGCATTTCCGCAGCTTTTGCAGTAGAGAAATTTGAGATATAAAAAAGACCAACTCCTTTTCATTTTTAACTCACAGGTAGAGCTATTCTCCTATAATACTGTTCCCGGACCTTTCTGGGATTTGTTTGAAATGAGACCTAGACCATCTCATAAGTAAGATTATGTTACCTCATAGGAAGTTAAATCATACAAAGGCACATTCTGAAGGATTATTTAAATGTAAAACATGTAAAATTTCTTAGCCTGAATCTGACAAATCTAGGATTTATTTATTTTTTCTTCTTGTTTACACAAATAAATGTCCATCTGTCCATCTGTCTGTATCTATCTAGAAAAGATTTTCATCATTCCATTAAATGCACTTGTCTTCCTATTTAGTTTTCCTATTTTTTTCATGTTCATGATTTAACTGGCTGTTTTCTCCCTCCTAAAGAGACTATGTGGTTCCCTTCTTTCTTTTATTCCCTTAAAATACTCCAAATGTCCTTGTTGCTAATATGTCTACCGTCACATAATTTTATTCCCCACATGTTTTAATAGTGAATGAACGACAAAAGCAAATTCTCTCTAGTTACCTGGGGAAAAGTGACAAAATAAATACTGGAGATACCACCTCATTTGGAGGTACAGATAGATGCTGGGATTTCCCTCCAGCATCCCGGTAACTCTCTCCTAACTGTCAAGGCCAGCTTCCTGAACTCTCTGGTCAGCCATGTCAGCCATTCCCATGTTACCCCAGGAGAAGGTACGTTCCCTGTGCTGCAGACATCCACAGGTGAAGTGAGGTGTCACGCTAGGATTTGTGCAGCAAGTGGCCGTTAGCAACACCACAGGTGGCCCGAATTGCAGCTGTAGGTTAAGTTGAAGAGGCAGCCTTTCCTGGCCAAATGTGCTTCAGTCAGGAATGTATAAATAGTGAAAAGCAAGCAGTAATCCTGCAAGTAACTCACACGCCCAGGAATCTGGAGCTGCAAATGGGAATATGAGCTAAACCTCCTCCCTTCATCTAAATGAACAAATGAGGCCCAGAAATCACAAGATTTGCCCCTGGCCACGGAGCGAAGTTGTCTGCCTTGGAATTAGAGTGCCTACCGTCTGCCAGTGAACCCAAAGCTATTTTCTCCATACAGCACTGCAGCAAAAATAAATCCTGCTGGGGTACAGGACTCCGAGACAGAAAATAATAGTCGGCTGCAGACTCTTTGCGTGCAAAGTACAAAATGTTCAAGTGCATGTTTTCAATCCCTTCATTCTTTCTTGTAACGATTGCCGCTAATCCGTGCCAGCTCATGTTAGTCCTTCAGCGGTGGCAATCAATAGAATAGATTAGCTGAGGAAACCCTCCGTCCATATGACCCCTACGTTCTTTTCCAGATGGAATTTTCCTTCACTAGAGTGTCGGCGGCAGCCATGTGAATTTCCCTCCGCGCCCAAATATGGACCTACTAGCCTTCAAGATTGTCCCCATAGAACTTGACGCATCTACGAAGAAGCATACCTGGAGATTTAATAAAACAGCACCAATCCTCATGGCTTCACTGATTTCAAGGCTGTACATCAACTGTGGGAAGCGGGGAGGGCTCTGATTATTTGGAGGAAGCACTTCAATGTACACGGTGCAGATGGAGTGCCTGCAGAGAACGAGAACACAGCGAGATGGGTACAAGTCTACATCACCTTGAACAACAGACTGCATTCAGTGTTCCGTTTTTGGGCTTACAGGAGAGGACGCTTTGAATTTCTAGAGAAAATGACAAAATAATTCAGAATGGAAGGATGGAAAAATCAAAGCTACCACCACCACATCATGTTTCTGTGAAATTATCTTGGAAAAAAGAAATGCCCTGGGGTACCGATTTTTCCTACGTAGATTAACAGTGTGAATTAAAAAGGAATAGCTGTACGAATAAAGCTAATAAATTCACAGGAGCCTCGACTCCTGACTTTACTTTTTAATGTCTTTCTAATAGCAAAAAGCATTCTATAAATATCTGGTAAAATGAGCTGTCCTTGGGGCTCTCTTCCTATTAAACCAGCAGAGGGAGTATTGATTAAAACAATACACAAAACAAAATATGGGCTGTGTTTTATTAGTTTTCTTGCTGACATCAGTGGCTTCATGCAAATGCACGGCAAGAATCAGGCTCATAAAGTAATCGTTCTGCAAAACAGCTGCAGACAAAACTAAAGGTGGTTTTAGGTCTTCTTTGAAGACTACTTTCTGAATGGCTAGAAATTAGGTTTAATTGAAGCCTAACATTGATAGGAATTTTTACTGCAGGACAAGAGGATATTCTACTACTGTAAAGACAAAAATATTAGTGCTGCCATAATCAACTTTTTTGACATGTCCAAACTCGGCAATTTCTTTGTGCAACAAAAGCCAAAGGAGCAAGATATTCCAAGTTTATACCGAAGCGACACTGGCTAAAATTATGTTAGTGAGAGAGTCAGTGGTCCATCTGGAAGAATATGTCACCACTGACGTCTGACCACGAAGTTAGCCTTCTGCCATGAGGAACATACAGCCACTACCTACACTGTGCGCTTTAAACTTATTTTAACAAAATCACCACTTTTTACTAAAAACACATTTGTTGTCATTGCTATATGGGCACTAGAATTTTCTTAAAGCAGTCCAAAGTTCATTATATTAGTTGTTTCAATTAGAACACATCGTCACCAAAACGGTTTTCAGAGATTATTGTACCTATTTTTAGTCTATTTTTAGACTATTTTTAGTCTACCTATTTTTAGACTATTTTTAGTTTACCTTTTTTAAAAAAAAAATTTTTTTAACGTTTATTTTTGAGACAGAGAGAGACAGAGTATGAACGGGGGAGGGTCAGAGAGAGAGAGGTAGAGACAGAATCTGAAACAGGCTCCAGGTTCTGAGCTGTCAGCACAGAGCACGATGCGGGGCTCGAACTCACGGACCGAGAGATCATGAACTGAGCCAAAGTCGGACGCTTAACCGACTGAGCCATTCAGGTGCCCCAGTCTACCTTTTGAAAAGCTTTGCAGAGAACTGTAGATCATAGGCATTGAAAACTTATTTCAGCTAATCATCTTATAATATGCCTATGTCCAAATTGCTTCTGAACATGCTCTCCACAGATGAGATACCTACAGAATATTAAACACCTCTAAAAAGCTGCAGTGAATTAAAAAAAAATCACACTTAACATTTATCAAAATATTGTTCTGAAATAATCTCATTTTAAGTTAAAATCTCTTTTATAATTAGTATTTTTAAAATTTATAATCAGAGTATCTGTATTCATTCTTGCCTCTGGGTTTATCGCTTTATTGTTAAAAATTTGTCAATAAAATTAATCAAATTCTAATTGATTTTCTTTTCAAAAACATATATATTTACAACTGGACTTCAAGACTAAGATGTTTACAGTAGGTTAAAATGGTTAATGAAACGTTACTTATATATTTATAGGTATTAATCTCATGGCTAGATTGAAAAGAAAACATGGTAGGAAGAAAAATACCCAGAAGTTACCAAATTTAACGTGCACAGCAGAGCCCCGCTTCCCATACTGTAGGAACAAAGGAACCACCATTTTGAAGCAGACCTAGTACCTCCAGGTGGTGAACTGGCTCCCACAGAGGCCGCGAGACACAGACTCTGCCTGATGCTCCCCTCGCCATCCTGGCTTCTCTTAGTGTCTGTTATTCATCAAGTCATTTCAACATTTTATAAATCTGTTCGTTGAGGTGCCTCAAAATCGGTTGAGGGATTGACTGTTGATTTTAGCTCAGGTCACGATCTCTGGCTAATAGCGCAAAGCCTGCTTGGGATTTTCTCTCTCCCTCTCTCTCTGTCCCCCAACCCCCCTGGCTCTCTCTCAAAATAAATAAATAAACTGAAAAAAAAATCTGTTCCTTTTTCTGGCCAGCACATTGTCTACGCATAAGAAGTCTTATAACATACGCCCAGTACCATATTGGCAATAATGCTGGCTGAGTGACGTTGAGCACGGGATTTATAACACACATTCCTGAGTCAGAATTTGGAAGCTACTGCTGTGGGATGTTAGGCAAATTACATCTGTTTTACCACTTTCATCTAAAAAATGAGAATGATGATAACATCTAAGGTTAGCATAAGAGGTAAACAAGGTTATATATTTGTGTCTGTGCATGTGTATGTATGTTGTGTGTATATATGTATATGTATGCATATATGAAAGCATATTTATCCATTATTACTGATAACTGTTCAAAATAAGGAGTCTTTTTCTATGGAATGCAGTAAATAAATTTGCATATACCTTATTGAATTCTCTTTGAATATTTCAGATATTTTATGTTTTTTTTTTTTTTTTAAGTTTGTTTGAGAGAGAGAATGAGACAGAGCAGGGCAAGTGGAGAGAGAGAGAGACAGAGACAGAGACAGAGACACAGACAGAGACAGAGAGAGAATATAAATCCCAAGCAGGCTCACGCTGTCAGTGCAGAGTCTGATGCGGGGCTCAATCTCATGAACTGGGAGATCATGACTTGAGCCAAAATCAAGAGTTGGATGCCTAACCGACTGAGCCACCCAGGTGCCCTAATATATCAGACATTTTAATTGCATCTTTTTCACCTTTTTAGGCAAAATACCTATGGGCATGATACCAGGGTTGCCTCCCAAAAGTGGGTTATGATGGTGTCAGGGTTTGGACTTACTAGATTAGAATCTTCTGATTTTGAAGAGTCTACATTTTCTATGGATATACAATATTCCCACACACACACTTGATTTTGAAGACCACTGCCCCAGAAGCTCTTGTAGCCTGAGGGCTCCTCTATAAACTGACCTGAGGCTCACCTCAGTAACGCTGGAGGTAAGAGAGTCCCTCACTGATCAACACTTTTTTTGACCTAGAACACACTTGTACTCCAAATTCAAAGTTTTCTTTCAAGAAGTTAGGCCTTTCCAGCTTTTGACATTTTTTGCAGCTTCAGCTTACTGGTCTGGAATACTTTATGAAGTCTCCCAGAATGTGAGGCTCTTTCCACTGAAGAAAGTATGATTTACACTAAGCTGATTATACTTGGTGTGTTTTCTTACTCTTCCCCCTTGACTGCCTTCCCATTGCGGGGCTAAAGTGTTTATATCCACAGTACCGCACTAAGGACCTCTACACCCAATGAGGCTGGTGTGTCTGCTACAGAGAAGACAACTTTGAAATGCAAAACAAACAAACACAAAGCGCTGTACCCCAAGGCAGAGCAACCATGGAGCACAGCTTGATTCAACACAAGCTTCTCCTTCCTCCAGCCTTACTCCTTAGGTTCCTCTGTTCCTTTCCACAATAAATCAAATGCTGAAATTGCTAATTACATATGTTTCGGCCCCCTACCCCTGCACTTGGTTCTTGGAATTATTCGAGAAAGATCATGTTTCAAAGTCTAGCGTTTTTCATCTTAAACTTCCTGGCACTTCCTACAACCCGTGTAAACAAGCAGCAGCCTTCCTGAGGGTTACTGCCTTCTACTGTGCTGTCTCCTTTTTATCCCTGATGTCAGCATTGTGTCGGAGTTAGCTTTCCTAACACGAAACACCAACAGTGCTCCCAATAAGATGATATCACTAACGTTGCAATAAATAGTAGTTATTCAACAGCATCAGTTGAGCATACAATAAAACAGGATAGTCACTAGATAAATAATAACATTTTATGTGAACATTTTATATTAACGTTTTATAGCTAGTCTTAAATGCATAATATCAAACAGTTATATAATACAAATTTCACTTTCGTAATACAACCAGTATGATGAAGATGAATCCCTATTCCTAAAAAAATGAAAATCATAGAGCTTTCTCTTTCTCATTTGGTAATGAAGGTCAAAGTAGAACACAGGAGCTGATGTATTTTCGCAGATGATCTTAACGATTTTAAAAGACCCTAGTAGCCATCTAATTTAACTCTTCTCGTTTTACAAAAGAGGATTAGAAAATCAGAAAGATTAAGGGACTGAATCAAGGTTAAAAAGTTAATTAGGAACCACACATAAACTAAAAGGCAAGGCTTCTAAATTCCAAATCTGTTTGCCCTTTGCCCCCACATCCTACAAGAACAAATTTGGGCAGTAAATTGGAGATAGTTTACTTATCTGATGTGGGTGTTTCTGTCTGTGAGTATAAGACATTCTTGGTTGAAGAAATTTGTAATGAAGGATGTTATCTTACAAGAAATCATAGATTGTTTCAAATCTTGGGCTTAGGATATGATATCACAATTAATTTTAACTATACCATGGATGAAACTTAGAATTTTTTTGGTAAGACCAAAATAGAATATGAATGAAGAAGAGGTTGGGAAGATAGATTTAAGGGGCTTTAACTTTTCAGAAATATTTAAAAAGGGGGAAAAGTCAGTTTGTTTTGATGGGGCACTAGTACTCAGTCGTAATGAGATGATGTTGCTGGAGTGTGGACTGTACAATCTGTATTGTAATTTTCTAATGAATGTGTCACCATCTGCTACAGGGTGTTTGTAACTCTACATTTCCACCTTGCTTCTAACATGAAGGTGTGTATATTGCTTTCCCTAGGAGACTTAAAACAGAAATTGCCTTCCTTTTTCCTCTGTCTCCCACCAACATTGTGCTGGAGAAGCTGTAT